TCCTTTCCGCGTGCACGGACGGCTTGGATGTGCTCCTTTCCATACGCGATCGAACGGCCAGATTCAAACCCTATCGGATGATCTAGAGTGAATCGTGATGGACAACTCATATTGGATCGCGATGAACGTCCCAAATTCACTCCCTATTTAATCGCGACCGAACGGTCAAGATCAAATATGATGGATGACCCAGATCAAAAACGGATGGATATAAATAACCTCCATCTGCACCAAACCCTAACCTTAGCCGCCCGAACCCCTCGCTGGAGAAGATGACCCAGCCACCGGGGAGCCGACTATCGCCACCCGCCGCTGCACCGGAACCCTTTCCGACTACCAAAAAAGGTTAAAACTTTTCTTTTTGCATGAAATTCAATTTTAGTCTCACCCATGGCCAAATCGAAGTAAAAAGACCAGCCAATTGGCCCAAAAACACCTGTGAAGTCCAGTGGCGCCGCCGTGAGAAATTTTACAAAATGCCTCCGATGAGACCCTTCCCGATTTCCGTTTCGCGTAATTTTTCTACCGTTGTGATCACCGTTTTCTTCTCCACATGTTGATTGAAGTAAAACACCCAACCGCAATGTGAGCCGGAGAAGCCGCCATACCGGAGAGCCCTGCTGCTAGTGAATTTTGGTTTTTTATATTTTTTGGGCCAACCGAGGCCCTTTAATGTGTTTTTTACAGGAATCGATGCAAAATCGGTCGACCCGAGGCGAACCACCTCCGCGGGCGGTGGCGCCATCGCTGGATCACGACGAAGCCGCTGTGCCGGAATTTTGAAATTGGCCGAGTGGGCCCTGGAACTGATTTTGGGTTTATTTGGAATATTTGTAGGTACTATTAGTGCGATTCAGTTCCTGAAAAAAAAATTCAGGGAACCTAGGGATCGCCCGTATGCACAGTAAACAATTTAGTTTTTCAGACGTCAAATCGAGTAAGGATCCTTCACCATATTCTCTATCATAGAACTGAAGTTTAAATAAATAATAATACGGTATTTTGTGCGATTTTAGCAAATAAACAGAATTAATTATGGATTGCTAATGGAGTCGGAACCGAAAATTATCCACTACTATTGTTGATTATTTTTACAGTTTACCTGCATGATGATATCTTATTTATTTATTTTATGGCTTTGAACGCATGTGTGGCTTATTTTACGTGTTTACTGTTGAATTGAGAAAAATAAAGTTTAAACAGTACAGAAATTGTATGATTAAATGATTAGATAAAACGACAGTCTTACTGGATATCTTAAGAGATGGTGGATGGACTGGGTACATAGAGAACTCTACCGTGAACGTTGTCTCATGTCGGACGGGATATGAGGACGGTCCGCTTCACTCTCATACCGGACGAGGTATTGAGATTTGGTAAATTGACACTCATACCGGAGGGGGTATGATGACGGTCCATAATTAAAAATGATAAATTAAAGGGTTCACGTGTAGTGTGGGCATCCCTATAAACCCCAATGGATACCAGCAGGCTGGTGAAAAGAGTGGTAGTTATTGTTTGATTTATTGATAATGAATATGAATTTATAATATGTACTATGATGGCTGATTATGCATAAAATATTGGTCTGTATGATATTATTGTTCTTACAGGTTATTTTCATAAATTTCACAATGGTAAGTGAACGAGAAATGATTTTACGATTATAAATAAATTTGCTAATTTAATGCTGCATTAGTGATTTTTGATTTTATACCAACTTTTACTTCTGTGTCGTGAAATAGTGTAATATTCTTACTGGATT